AAAAGGTAACCCCCCCCCCCCACACACACACACACAATATACCCTTTTCGAACAACATAACTTATTTAATTGCCGTCCTACAGTCCTCAGGAATTAACAATATTTCCATAACAAATATGACATAATTCTTGAAATTCTCACACACACAGCGGCAGGACAGTAGGGAAGCACTAGACGACCTGCATATATTGCATTTCAGAAAATATGATCTGAAAGTATATCAAGCAAATGCATAAAGAAACTTGGCACAAATGCAAACAAGTCAAGTCTACAAGCAAATGCATAAAGAAACTCGGCCCAAATGCAAACAAGTCAAGTCAACATATAGGTATCTAATAAGCCTGAATGACTAGGTTTGAATATAAATTAAAACTGTAAATAACAAAAAATTAGCAGGATGCTCAAGGAACCAGGGGAACTGCAGAGACAGGCATTGCCTGCCCTGTCAAATGCAGAATAATATTTTTTACGGTAAACAGCTAAATGCTGAATAGTTAGAACATAATTTATTCCCAAATATGGGGAGTTAAATTAATATCACTCCTCAGAAATTATGAGTGCAAGAGCAGAGAAAATTATTACCCCATAGAAGGCACGATTCCCTTCATTAGAACTAGTTGATCGATAGTGGCTCATAAAATTGTCGGCACACACATACACGTCTTCCATGCTTGACCGAGATCCAATGTCCGCCCAAGCACCTGAGCGAAGCAATGGAATGTACTCCGTTGCATGATCACCTGTAGCTGCCCTTGGTTCAAGAGAAACATCTGATAACTTGGTTCTCACCTGGTAAATCTCCACTCAAAACTTCAATACACATCAAGAAGATACAAAATCACCACAGATCATACAAATGCTGAAAGTTCAGCCAGCAACTAATTCGAAGTAATATAAAAATAAAAAGTAACAGATCATAATGTCCAAACAAATTACAAATAGATCAGAAATAAAAACATGATTAATCAAACAGACAAACAAAACATACTGATCCAATAGTTGATATATTAAATTTCTATTAATACAGAAAACTAGCCTATTAAGATTTTTCATGTAGACAACAACAACAACAACCCAATATAATCCCACAAGTGGGGTTTGGGTAGGGTAGGATGTACGCAGCCTTACCCCTACCCTAGAAGGGCAGAAAAACTGTTTCATATAAGAATTAATGGAAGTGGTATACTCTTCAAAGATAATAACACTGAAGAAGCCAAAACCAGAAAACTACATCCTCCTAGTAGATACTATTCAAATCGAAGAAGGATTAATATCATTCACTTCACTAAATCAGCAGAATGCTCCCAACCATGACGCCACAGCCATAAAAATTCCCAGAAAACATCACATTAAACAATTTTTTTTCTTTAGTTATATTGAAAACGTATGCATGTAAATTCCAAATTTCAACATATTACTTATGAAACCATAAAACAGGGTTGGAACACATCTCCCCAATAAGACAATCAAACTGTCAGATGACAAGAAGAGATAGTTGCAAAGAACACAGCAGCTTATATTGCTTTAAAACACATAAAGATAACCTTTCTAACTTGGTCGCTATCTTAATTGAGCAGAGTCAGATTACCACAAAATGTCCAATATTTGTAAATATAAGCAATCATATGATAATAACATATCCAATGAACACAACAATAGAGAAGTACTCCCTCTGTTCCAGTTTATGTGAACCTATTTCCTTTTGGGTCTGTTCCAAAAAGAATAAACCCTTTCTAAATTTGGAAACTATTTAGCTTAAACTTCCAATTCCACCCTTAATGAGAAGCTTTTATAACCACAAAAATACTCTAAACCCCTTTTTGACTTGTTTAGGACCACAAATTTCAAAAGTTTTCATTTTTTCTTAAATGTCAAACTAGTTCACATAAATTGAAACAGAGGGAGTACTTCTTTTGCTTTGTTTATGCACTAAGCCAACTAACACAAATTATCTATTAAAACCACTCCAAAAAATGCATAAACTTTACTATAACAACAACAATAACGACTACAGCTCAATGCCAAACTAGTTAGGATTGGCTATATAAGCTCTATTCAAGGGCGGAGTTAAATAGGAGTAAGGGGGTTCAATTGAATCCCCTCCTTTGTAAAATTACACTACACTAACAAAGAAAAATGAGTTTCTTTTGTTATATATAAATGATTGAATCCCCTGACAAAAATAAATCTAGTGTAGTGGCTGAGCGGGTCCAAAATTGCTTCAGGTCATAGGTTCAAATCCTAGTGAAACATTGTTGTATTTTTTGAATCCCCTTGTATAAATTCTCCCCTCGGCCACGGGCTCTATTCAGACCCATTTCATTCTAATACTCAAGAAATTAAGTTTTTCTAACACCGGATCTAAGGAAAGTGCACCGACACGACTAAGGCCTTTATCCCAACTAGTAAATAATTAATACTCTGCAAGTTTACTAAACTAAAAAACTAAAAAAATCCAATAAATGCGAAGGCAAAAGTAGACAATTTACCAAAGAGGGGTGTCGAACAAGGGACCTCTTGGTGGCAGAAGCCACTAAACGGTGCCCTCCTCCAGCAATAGGATTCGGCGGCTTGCTATTACTGGAGCTCTCATTTTCTCTGCAATTATCAAACATCAATTTACTGTCTTCCATTTTGATTCTCAACCATAACTGTACGGAAACAAAATATATGAATCAATGTAGAAATTTGTTATAAAATTAGGGATCTGTGGTGCAATTTGGATGAATCTAGGGTTTTTATTTAAATTAAAGAGGTTTCTTTTAGGGTTTTAACGGGCGGGAAAAAGAGGAAATTGTAGGGTGTGCGAGGAAACAGAGAGATTTAGGGATGGATAGAATGCAATTGGTTTGGGATCTGTTTTAGAAGAAAAGATTGGGGATTTCTGAGGCGTTGTTTTTTGAGGTGGGGACTGAACTTAAGCAAGGCGGTGATTTGGTTGACTACTTGACAGGTAGAAAATATAACTATGTATGATATAAGCTAGGCAAAAATACATTAAACCACCCCTAAATTTGGTTCAAATTATTAGTTTGAATACATTAAACCACCCCTAAATTTGGTTCAGATTATTAGTATCCTTCCCAAATTATGTCCGATCTTAATTACCCCATAAACTTAGCTTTTGAGAGTCATTACCCTCTAGACGCTGATATGGCAAAAGGTGTGGTGCACTCACCTGCCACGTGGATTTTTCGGTCTACGTGCATTTTTTTGAAAAATAAAATATTTTTTTACCTTTTTAAGAATATTCCTTTTTAGATAAAAATTTTCGAATACAATTTAGAATAAAACTTGGATATAACTGCATTATTTAGGCTAAATATTTCTATTTGGACAAAAATAATAAAGTTTTAGTTAATCTTTTTTTGAATTTGACCTGAAAATAAAGATTTATACAATTGAAATAAATAGTCAAGGCATCTAAAAAGTTATAAAAAATATATAATTTGAAATTAATTATTTTGGCTATAATTTTTTATATAGCTCTAAATTATGGTGCTCTAGTTTTATATTATTTTTTACAGATTTTACCTAAAAAGTAAAAGTACACAGTTGAAATAAATAGTCATTGCATCAAAAGAAGAAATAAAAAGAGTATACAATTGCAAGAAATTACAAGTGCAATTTTACACTCTTTTTATTTCTTCTTTTGATGCAATGACTATTTATTTTAAACTATGTATTTTTATAACTTTTTAGATGTCTTGACTATTTATTTCAATTGTATAAATCTTTATTTTCAGGTCAAAATCAAAAAAAAATATTAACTAAAATTTTATTATTTTTGGTCAAATAAATTGTTTTTAGCCTAAATAATGTAGTTATATCAAAGTTTTATTATAAATTTTATTCGAAAAAAATTATCTAAAGAAGTAATATTCTTAAAAAGGTAAAAAAAATATTTTATGTTTCAAAAAAAGCCACATAGACAGAAAAATCCACGTGGCAGGCGGGTGCACCCACACTTTTTGCACATCAGCGTCTAGGGGAGTAACGACCCTCAAAAGGCCAAGTTGAGGGGGATAATTAAGACCAGGCATAGTTCGGAGAGGAAACTCATACTTATGATAGTGTGAATTTTATTATTATTAAATTATCAATCATTTTAAAAATAATATTTATTTTTAATTGTGTTTAATTAATATAACTATGAATAATTATAAATCGTATATAATAGTAGAACTTAAGCTCAATAACTCTATATTGTCAATACACTAAAATTATACTTTTCGTTCAAATCTATAATTGTCTTATAAACAATTAATATAGAAATTAAACTCAATAATTATATATTGTCAGCACAAATGTTATGGACTATATCTCTTTTTCGTCTCACAAAAATTAAACTCTTTACTCGTTAAAATTTATAAAACTTGAGAAAAAGGATAAATATTTAAAATAGAAAAATATATAAGACGACGTGACCTTTTGTTTTTCTTTTGAAAAATAAAGTTCTCTTTGAAGTTTGAACGTAGTGACTTGTTTTACTTTTCTTTTTCCCTTTTTTTTTTGTTACAAATAAGACAAGACCTGACATCTCGACTAGTTATATCTTGTAGAAGAACTAATAGAACAAACCATAAGGGGTCGTTTGATAGGATGCATTAGATAAAATAATGCATACATTAGTTTTGTATATTAATAATATCTTGTTTGATAGATATTTTGAACTTATGCATTAGTTATGCAAGCATTAGTTATACATTCTATTTGATATATCCTATGCATAACTAATGCATAGAAAACCATGGTATTAGCAATGCAATAGTTTTTAATGCATGCATTAGCTTAGTTAAAGACAAAATTGTCCTTCAAAATTTATGCTTGATTAAAATGTGCTAGTTATTATATTAATGCAAGTTTAAAATAATCCAAATAGTGAGAAATAAAATTATATCTCTATAAATAAATAAATACTTAGCATATTTCTTTTTTTATAAATAAATATTTAGTTCTATATTACAATATAGGTAGACAAATCAAATAAATTTTGTAAACTTTTTCATATAAAAACATTTCTCAACATATGTTTCTTTTAAAAAATTAGAGTGATGGACTGGTTTTGAGGATATTTTTGTAAATAAGAAATTCTTTCAGAAATTGTGCAATATTTTAATGCATCAAACCAAACAATGGATAAGAAATATGTCAGCATAACTAATACCAGCATAACTAATGCAAGCATAACTAATACCAGCATTACTAATACATCATATTCAACATTATTCTTATGCACCCTACCAAACGACCCCTAAGAGTGAAAAAATGAACATACATTCAAAAAATGGGAGTCATAGCATTTGACGTTTAAACTTTAAAGTGTTGGCATTTTTTTTGGTCAACAGAGTAATATATTAACTAGTTAAACAAAAGGGGTTACACTGCCTTGGAAGTTACTGGGGTACCTTAAGTCCCCCATAGATGCAAAGTTTTGCATAATTGTTCTTATATTACAACCCACAAAAGTTCTAGGTAGTTCAGTTCCTAGGGTGTCTGCCCAAAATACATCATTGGCAAACACCGGAGGAACTGCTAGAGATATTGATTTGTTCAAAAAATATTCCTTGGCTGCTTCCTTCGCCAGTGCATCAGCTACCCTGTTTTGCTCTCTGTATGAGTGCCTCACTACCACGCTGCTCATCCTTTGAATCATCAATCTGCATTCACAAATTAGGGGGTCAAATATTAGATTTCCATTCAACAACATATTGATTACTTCTGCTGAATCAGTGTCTACTTGTAGCGGAACTAAGTTGTTTAGTTCTGCTAGTTGTAGGCTTCTGATGAGGGCTCTAAATTCAGCCCCCGTGTTAGTTGTTTGGGGTAAGTTTTCCATGAAGTCCAACATCCAACTTCCGTTATGGTTTTTGAAAATGCCCCCAGCTCCACCCTGGGTTGCCCTTTGTTGCACCATCAGTGTTTAATTTGTAGGAGCCTCTTGGTGGTGGAGTCCATTTAAGCATGATTTGGTGGGTGCATTGTTGTGAAATGTTATTATTAAGGACATGATACTCATTAGCTTTAGCAATGGTGTTATTAGCATTGATGGATTCTTTTTTGTTATTGAACACATTATTATTCCTTGCCAGCCAAATGTGCCAGAGGCAGTAGGGAATGAGGTTCTCCCAGTTAAGGTAGTCATTGTACTTTACACCTTTAAGAGTTGTCAAAACTGTTTGCCAAAGGTGACTACAACTGAGAGGATTGGAGGGTGATTGGGCTAAAGATTTTGACCGGATGGCACTCCAAACGTGGACAACATTGGGGCATAGGAAGAAGATGTGGTCAATATCTTCTTATTCAAAACCACAAAAATGGCACTGGGTGGGGCAGTTTATTCCAATAGAGTGTAAAAGGCTCCTAGTGGGTAGCCTTTTGTGTGTTAGGAGTCAGGTAAAGTACTTTATCTTGTTTGGGGTTTGGAGTTTCCAGATCCACTTGAAGTGGTCCTCTTCTCCAAGAGAATGAGCTTGTGTACTTTTGCTTATGATGGAGTATGTAGAGCTGTTGGAGAATTGCCCATTGGTTGTGATGCCCCATATTAGATTATCTTCCTTATTGGCTACCTTTGGAATAAACACAGCCTTAAGGAGGTTTTGGATATGGGGAGGGAGGTCAAATGACATGGTTGATGTGTCCCAAGTGCCCATATTGTGGATTGTTTCCACTTTAATTTGAAGGTCATTCTGGGTTAGGAGTCCCTCTATCAAATGCCTGAGGGCAGGCTGATTAGGAATCCAGGTGTCATTGAAGAAACTGACCATATCTCCTCTATTAACTAACCAACTACTGGCTTTGCTACATGTCTCCCAGCCTTTTAGTAAGCTCTTCCAGGTAGGCGATTTATTGTTCTCATGGTGTCTCACAGCTTGAGCAGGTCTGGACATGTTGCAATTTTTGTGGATAAGGACTCTAGCCCAAAGGCTATTGGTATTCTTGTAAGTTCTCCATGCCAGGTTTGCTAAAGCAGCTTTGTTTTTAAAACTAGCTTTTTGCAACCCTAGCCCTCCCTCAGCTTTTGTTCTAGTAACTACACCCCACTTAATCAAATGAAGTTTTTTCTTTTCATGGGTGGTACCCCAGAGGAAGTTCCTCTGAATTCTATCAATTTGATTTGTTATTTTGGTTGGCAGTGTAATGTATTGCATTACATGGCTTGGGATGGTGCCTAGGGTGGTTTTTGCCAGGACAGTTCTCCCAGCCATGTTGAGGAATCTAGTTTTTCAGCCAGTCAACTTGTGTTACGTATTGTCAATGATGAACTAGAAATCTGAGGTTGATTGTTTTTTGTGAAAGATTGGAAAACCAAGATACTTTCCAAAAGAGGTGGTGTGTTTGATGGATAGGAGATTAGAGAGTTGTTGGGAGGTATCTTGGGTAGTGTTTGAGGAGAACAGGACTCTGGATTTGGCTAGGTTTATTTTTTGTCCTGACTGGTTGTTGAAGCTATGTAATATGGAAAGGATTGTATTACAGTTCCTGATGTTACCTTTAGCAAAGAGGGTGAGGTCATCTGCAAAGAAACGGTGGGAGATTTTTGGTCCAGACCTACTTATGTTGATGGGGTGCCATTGGTTTTGCATGATTGCCTTGTCAATGGATCTGGATAGCCTTTCCATACACAGGATGGACAGGTAGGGTGACATAGGGTCCCCTTCTCTGATGCCTCTTGAAGGGTTGAAAGGATTAGTTTTCCCCTCATTGACAAGGATTGAGATGGAGGAAGTACTTATGCAGGACATGATGAGTTTGGACAGGCCCTTAGGGAAATTGAAGGCATCTAGGGTGTCTCTGATAAAAGACCATTCCAGCCTGTCAAAGGCTTTCTCAAGGTCTATTTTTAAGATCATATTGGCACTCCTTCCGTTCATTTTTCTGAAGTGGTTGATGTATTCTTGGACAATGATGGCATTGTCACAGGCT